AGAAGTATTTTTCAACAAAGGAGGGGGAGAGGAAAAAAAAAAAAATCCCAGTCTGAGCATTGTCTCTCATTAAATCCTGCGCTATATCTCAGATTTGAGGGGGAGAAAAGGCTCAGCTTGGAATTTTTATATATTATGTAATCTGTACTTAGATGTACAGATTACATCTAAGTCGAAATGTTGGGCCTTCTGTATCATTGCGGGCTTTCTAGCCCTATCATTGCGGGCTTTCTAGGGCAGTGTTTCTCAACCAAGCCTGGCTAAGGAATTCTGGGAGTTGAAGTCCACCCACCTTAAAGTTGCCAAGTTTGAAGAACACTGATCTAAGCGATTGTGAGAGATTGTGGGAGAGTGCCGAAAGGGAAATTAGTAATAAAACAATTAAGAGATAGAGGAGGAGTTCATTGATAGCTTATCTTATAAATGGCAACTTAGCTGAGGTGGCAAGAAATCCAGAAAGTCGTTCAAGGAAACTCTGCCCCAATAAATTCTCTTTAAATGAGAATTTGAAGTTTTCAAGATTCTATATTCACCCCAGGTTTAGCATTAAAGACACATTACTGAAATTACTGTAAGACTTGCTTTCCTTGATCTTGCCAAGCTATGTGGTGTTTTATGGCTATCATATCCTTTTTATTCTTTCTCCCCAGCTGTGGCGGGCTTTCTTTTCCTTATCCTCTAGAGCAGGGTTCCTCAACCTCAGCAACTTTAAGATGGGTGGACTTCAACTCCCAGAATTCCCCAGCCAGGCTTGGTTGAGAAACACTGCTCTAGAAAGCCCACAATGATGGGGCTCATACAGAAGGCCCAACATTTCTACTTAGTTTTGATGTTGCTTTTTCTGACATGGGAAGTTGTGAACAAAGAAGACTGACGTTTATCGTGATGTTTGCTAAACGATCTAGGCATTCCACATAAACAATCACAAAATGTGTTGATAGAATAAGCAAGATTTCGGAAGATAATGTTAACATAGTTTAGAGGGAGGAGTCAATGTTGCCAGAGATTGGAATTCTCTGGAGCAAAAGAAGTGAAGGCTGTTGATTACCAGAGGTGTATACGATTATAAAAATGAACTCTAGGACTGAATACTTGTAGGAGGTCTCCCCTGCAGTCCTTATGTGACTGTCATGGCTTCTCTCTGAGAATCTTGGGAAATTCAGGCTGCTTGACTGTGGGCGTTGTCTTTGAGCTCTGCTCTCCGCCCTGGATACTTGGTGCTACCAGCTCCCCACTTCCCAGGTCCTTGGTCCCTCTGACCTTTCTTACTCACCATGCAGAGTGGAGGAAGAATCATCCCAGAAGAATGCTGTGCTCAAGTCCCTGCGCGAGCTGCAAGCACAACTGTCAGAATTGCAGGAGGACCTGGAGTCTGAGAAGATGGCCCGTGCCAAAGCTGAGAAACAACGGCGTGACCTGGGGGAGGAGCTGGAAGCTCTCAAGACAGAACTGGAGGACACCTTGGACTCCACAGCCGCACAGCAAGAGCTACGGTAAAAGATGGGCGTGCCCAGAGAGGCCTGTCTCACCCACATGTTGCTGCATCTTGGGTGAGACATCTGGGTGCAGAAATGAGCCTCGTCCCTCACCAAAAATCCAAAAATGCAATGGATGCAGGCTGTCTCCTCTTACTAATTTATCCTTTCTCTTCCTCTTTCAGGTCAAAACGAGAGCTAGAGGTGACAGAGCTCAAGAAAACCATTGAGGATGAGATCAAGGCACACGAAGCACAGGTGCTAGATATGCGCCAGCGCCACACCAGTGCTCTGGAGGAGCTGTCAGAACAGCTGGAGCAGTCACGACGGGTATGCTGCTGGAAGTGGAGCCTGCTAGGTTTATTAGAATGAAGTGAGAAAGGGAGGTCTAAGACCCTCATCCTGATGGGTTTAGCTTTGATAAATCTGATAGTACAAAACAAAGAAAAGCCTGCCTCAATGTAGACTTTTGTAAAGTGAAGAGATGTAGTTTGAGGCTTACTCAGAATCTAAAGCGTGTCCTTTTGAAAGTTAGGCCCATTGAACAGGATGGGGTTTACTCCAAGAAATATAAATTGTAGCGCTGGAGGTCATGGGAGGAGGGGAGTATCTGAAGGCCCACAGCTTACTTCTGTTATTTCTGTCCTCCCTAGTTCAAAACTACTCTGGAGAAGACAAAGCAAGCCTTGGAAGGGGAAAATGCAGAGATGCAGAAGGAAGTGAAGATCCTGCAAGGGGCCAAATTGGAATCTGAGCAGCGGCGTAAGAAGCTGGAGAGTCAAGTCCAGGAGCTGCAGCTCCGGGCAGCTGAGAGCGAAAGAGTCAAGTGTGAGCTCACGGACAGGCTGGTGAAGCTGCAGGTGTGTAGGCCCACACGTGAGTGAGTCTGCGTTAAAAAAAGAACTGTATTTTGAATTGCTGTGTTCTGCTCCAAAGTACTTGTTTCCACAAAGCATTTCCTAGATCCCTATATCCTTGGATCAGCCTTCTCCAGCCTGACCATGCTTACTGACAATTATGTGAGCTGAACCACTACATGGAGGGCACCAGGTTGCAAAAGGTTGCCATGGGAATCATCTTCCCAGTTTTATATAAGGCTCCTATATGTCTCTAAATGTTCTTCTGTGTCTTGCTGATTTTCTGCCATTCAACCCACAGAATTCTATGTTTAGGTTTCATTATGCAAGGATTTTTTTCTTTACATAATTTTGCTGCAGAGATGGAGGCTGCAAGATGATTGGGGAAATGCTGGTTAGCTGATTGATGTTTAATGACAAAAATCAGAGGATGAGCACTGGAACTGATGACCCACTAGGGTGGCCAAGCTGACCCACTAGGGTGCAGGTGAATGGCAGGCAATGGAAAAAGAAACAGTAGCCAAGGAGCACATGCCTCTGAGATGGCTATGGCTGGAGGCTATGAAGCCCGGTATCTTCTCTGCTTTCTGAGCCTTCAGTAGTCATGTCATTTTGGCTTTCAGGCCTTTCGCAAGACCCATGGGACCTGCAAGTGTTCATGTTCCAAAGCTGAGTTTCTCAAGATGTCATATTCTGAGCCAGATACCATGTCCTTGTTTGTATGGTGGAATGAATGTTATATGAAACTCTGCCTTCATCCCTAGCTTTTCATTTGTGAGAGTTTGATGATTTGATGTTCTTGGATGCATTTTTACTTTTCCATTGGTTTGTTTTTCTGTCTACCTGTGGTTGCCATCTCCTGCAAACAGAATGAGCTCGATGGAGTCTCTGGTACCTTGGGAACTGCAGAGTCCAAGACAATAAAGCTTGCCAAAGACCTGGCTAGTGTTGAATCCCACCTGCAGGATACTCAGGTACATAAGAAAGGTGGGAGCGAGAGAAGCTCAGAAGCTGGTGAAGAACTGCATTTTGTTTGGGGATCGGGGATGTAATGTGTATGTACTCTGACTCTTGGTGGATTTTCATAGCAGGCTCCCGGAAGCTAGGGGAGAGAGTTGAAGAGAAAAACAGCAACAGGGATTAGAACATACAGCTTGGGTCTGTGAAACAGCTGGTTGCTGTCTGTGTAGTTATGAGTACATTGAAATTTGCCCATATGACACAGCTACTTCAGGAGCTGCACTGACTGTCAGTTAGCTTCCAGCTGTAATTCAAGCTGCTGGTTGTCCCCTGTACAGCCATTTGTGTCCTAGGGCCTGGAGATCTACAAGACCTCCTCCTTGGACTGAATCTGCCCACCCAGTGAGATTGAAAAGAGGGAGATTGCCAAGGGTCCCTTCTTTGGGGCAATGCTCTCTCTCTACAAGGACCTTGGGGGTGAGCCTGCCACGGAAATCCAGTCCTTCGCAAACTTATTTGGCTTCTGAAGGGTCATAAAGGTCTGGCTGTTTAGGAAGCCATTTTGGGTATGTTGAGGTTTAATCTGTTCCCACAAGATGGTTTTGGGGCTTTTATATGTTGGAATTTTTTTACTATTATTATCCCTTATGCTGTTCTTTAAGCCCATTGCAGCCTATGGGAATTTAGTGGCATAGAAGCCTAAGCAAATAAAGTAAGCAAATAAATAAATAAATAAGATTGTGCCAATACACTCAAAAATAGTAGTTTCTAATTAGTCTCTAAAAGAGCTATGCAGAGTTATGGATTTAAAGAGCAAAATGTGATTTGGAGCCTGCATGTGGGAGCCCCTTAAAAGCAGCTATGTCTTTTCCTGGAATGGTACATCAAGTGTGCAAGTCCACAGCTGCTTCAAAGGGTTCCCAAGAGGTACTGCATGTATGCTCACACATTTTGCCCTTCCAATCCAGGTTTCCGTATAGCCCTAGGTTTAACATGAAAACATTATTAAAAGCTTGCTAAAGAGAAGTTACTTTAGAATTTTATAGACGTTAGTGGGGATAAGCTCCAATGAGTAGGATATAAAATAATTTGGTAGGGGAGCGTTATGGCAAGAAAGCCCAATTCCATTCCCTACAAATTCTTTGCCAGAGAGAAGACTCTCTACAAGACTGATCTGTTGAAAGATGGGTGGGGGGCAGATTGGATTGTGGGTCTAACTGGAAGATGGTCTTCTGCTTCTCCAAGAACCTCCATTAGGCTAGAAATGGCTGCTCTTGAGCAAAAGAACATCTGATTTCTATGAGGAAGAACTGGAGATCTTATATCCAGGGGGAAGAGGATGGGTTCAGTCTCTGACCCACACCTTTTATCCTTCTCTCCCATCTTCTATCTCAGGAATTACTCCAAGAAGAGACAAGGCAGAAGCTGAATCTGAGCTCTCGAGTCCGGCAACTGGAAGAAGAAAAAGGAGCTCTGCTAGAGCAGCTGGAGGAGGAGGAAGCTGCCAAGGGCAACTTTACTCGCCAGATCCAGAGTCTGCAGCAGCAGGTGGGATAGAAACACAACCCAAGCAAAACCCCATCGAAGAAAAAAAAAGTTGATTCATTTAATAAGAAAATTTAGATATCAGGACTTACTCTTCTCTCCTCAGGGGTTTGATTAGGAAAATATGGTTCCAGGCCCAGTGCTGCCAAATCTCTTTTCCTTATCTCTTAATAAACACACGCTAATGTTATATTTTTAAAAAGTTCTGTGAAAACAGCATATGGAGGAGCATCATGAAGGTCACGGGGGATTGCTGCTGGGCTTTTGTGTTCTGCAAGAAGCTTCCATTCCCTCAGCAACTTTAGTAGCATAGATGTATAGACTTATGTGTGATTTTTCTTGGCGGTTTTACCAGGTGATGGAGACCAAGAAGAAACTGGAGGAAGATGCTGGAGTAGCAGAATCAATTGAAGAAGCTCGGCGCCGGGCAACCAAGGAACTAGAGGCACTCACCTTGCGCTATGAGGAACGTGTCCAGGCCTGTGACAAGTTGGAGAAAGGGCGAACCCGTCTGCAGCAGGAGCTGGATGACGTCACCGTTGCCCTTGATCAACAGCGTCAGGTGGTTTCTGCGCTTGAGAAGAAGCAGAAGAAATTTGACCAGGTGAGGCTTTGTTTCATCCATCAGGTCTCTCCCCAGAACTATGTTTCTTCACTTTGTCCATTGTACAGCTGTGTCCTACAGTGGTGGGAACTTGCCTTGAATTCTGATTCTAAGTGGTTTGGTCTCCCTAAAATAAAAAGTATTTTCTCAAACCTGTATCCCCATAAACTGAGCACTTAACTCGCTGGTAACAGATGTCCTTCTTCTCTTCTCAGAAGCCTCCATCACTAACATCCTCACTCCCAAATTGCCTCTTCAGGTCAGGTAGCTTTGCTACCCACCTGCCTATTTGATGAAATCATTAAACTTGGAAAATTAGACCCTGAAAAAGACTTGATCTGGAAATTTTGGATTCTCTCTTCCCGTTTCCCCACCCCCACCCCCACCCC